CTGCTGCTGCTGCTGCTACTACGAAGTTGTCCAGCGACTGTTCATACTACTACTGATGATTTGTAACGGGAATGCTATTGCTACCAGTCTCCTGCTGCTGCCGCCGCTTCTTCTCCTACTGCTGTTACTGTTATTCCTAATGCTACATCCACTGCGGAGCTGCTGCCCGTCTTGCTATGCCGGCCAATACTGCTACTGCTGATAGGAGGGCCATGTCTATTCTAACGATTCTACTTTAGCCGTAATCCTCGCAGTAGCAGTAGTACTAACAGTAGTAGTTGCAGTGGTAGTACTAGTACTACTGCGAGAACTAGAAATAGAAATCGTAGTAGTCATAACACTAATGTTTTAACAATGGTACTCGTCGTCGGTGTAGTAGTAGCAGTAGCAGTAGCAGTAGTAGTAGTAGTAGTAGTAGTAGTAGTAGCAGCAGAAGTAGTAGTAGTAGCAGCAGTAGTAGTAGTAGTAGTAGCAGTCGTCGTCGTCGCAGTAGTCGCAGTAGTAGCAGTAGTAGCAGTAGTAGCAGTAGTAGCAGTAGTAGCAGCAGTCGCAGCAGCAGCAGTAGTGGTAGTAGCAGCAGTAGTAGCAGTAGTGGTACTAGCAGCAGGGCAATAGTAAATGTAGCGATAGAGGTCTGCGCCCGACGGTCTCTTCCCCAGTCAAGCGCGTCCGTGAGCGTGGGCATGAGTTGTGATGCTCTATCCGCCTTCTCCACGTCCAACATCCACGTACCAAGAGTTCTACACTCTAGACTCTAGACCTTCATCCAACATCCGAACAGCAGCAGCACCACCACAACAACGACGTTGAACTTCAAGACCCAACACCTAAACACCAAGCCCTCAACGTTAAGTCCTAACCCTCACCCCTAAACCCTGAAGCCCGGCCTTCAGATGTTCGTGGGGCTGCACCTCGGTCATCTGCAGAACCAGCTCCATGGCCACGGTGTACATGGGGAAGAGCATCTCAACCTGAAGTTTTTTTCCCTTTCGCCCTGAAGCTTTAGGGTTAGGGTTTAGGGGTTTACACTCTCACAACCCGGACAAGCCAGGCGAGGATCCATAGGTGCAAAAGGTCGGCGTGACACAACAAGCTTCTATGCCTTTTTTTTTAAAGTGTGGTGGCTTCTATGCCTTTAGGAGTTTAGGCTTTAGGGTTCCACCCTTCCTGTATATTCTCATCAGCAGACTTCAATTTTGAGTCAGAGAAGAGCAGCTTTTGAGCAACTTTAGGTGGGGCGTCCAAAACCATGAAGGATCTTTACATGCAGGATCGTAATAAGGCCGAGCCACGCCACTGGGCCGCCACTGTCGTCAGGCAACGAATTGGCATAGTGCTCCAGGTGTGTCAAGGATTTGCCCGGCTTGCAAAAATACATGGCCAGGAGTCGGAAAGACAAAAGAAGAACTGCACGCGCACTGCCAGCGTTGAGCCGAAAAACTGTTTCAAGCCAGGCTTTCATGCCCCCAACCATCCTACCTGCGTTCCTTATGTAACATAATTAAAGTGTGCAGGTGTCCTCAGAAGTTCTTCGAATCTCCGAAGGCTTGGGATCGTTTCGCGCCTCCTCGGCCGCGACCCGCCAGGAGGATCTCGCCCTCCTCTCAGCTCCGGCTGGTTTTGCTGCGTTGCAATCGTAAGGAGGGCGCAAGAGGCCCAGGACGGGACCGCAAGCAAGGTAGAGAGGCTATACCATAATCTACGATATGATACAATATAGACTGTACTATTATATGTGATATACTGTTACTACAACATCAATATATACATATATATATATATATATAGAGAGAGAGAGAGAGAGTAAACTCCTGATGTATAGTATACTAAGCAGGCTGCCTAAAGATACCACTGCGTCCTCGGAAAGGGCCACGACATAGCCTGGCAGAGCGCGACCGACAAGCTTCCTTGGTTGACGACCAAGTTTTCGTCACTCCGCTCGTGCGGTGGCGATACGAACAACAGTGCTGGTACGGCGGCGGTGGTGGCGGCGGTTGCGGTGCCGGTGCCGGTGGCGGTGCTGGTGGCGGTGGCGGTGGCGGTTGTGGCGGCGGCGGCGGCGGTGGTGGTGGTGGTGGTGGATCCTTATTGTAAGGACCCCCAAATAAGGTACCCCTAATTATCGGAAACTCCCAAACGCATCAACAGCCTACCTTCCCGAGCGAAACGAGGCCGGGGAGCAGATGCCGCAACTTTGGCAGCGGGCCAGGAGCCTTCGCTTCAGGGGTTTTGAGGGCTTTAGGGTTTGGGGGTTTGAAGGCTCTAGGGTTTGGGGCTGAGGTTTTTTAGGGTTTTTTGGCCCCCCTTGAAAGTTTGAGGGTTTTGGGGATCCGGGGCTCTAGGGTTCTGGGCTTCTCATTGGAGAGGTCACCTGCTTTCGGCTACACGGACTTGAGTACTGCCTTCAGCGACTGTGTAGGCGTCATCGTGGCATGACTGACATTTTGACCTCAGGCTTCAAGCAGTTTTCGTTGTACAAGGCCGGAGTGACGAACACAGACCAGGAACAAATCAGACCGCATCGGGTCCACGACAACTGGATCCAAGTTCGCGACGGCCCAGGCAGCTCCCAGTTTCTGCGGAACCTCCATGACCCTAAAATGTCCCCCCTCTTTCAGCCTGGGCACGAGCGGGGCAGTGCCACAAGCGTAGCACCCAAGGTCAAGGCTCCAAAAACGTCACCTGCTGCAGGAGCTTTAGGCGTAAGCGGTCGCTACAGTGACCAGGGACCAGGGCTGCCCGGCCTTGCGCGGGGTCGAAGGTGAAGTGGGATCTCAGAAGCTGGCGGCTGCCTGCGCAGCAGTCGCAGCGCGAATCCCAAAGCCCCCCCTCAACCCAAAGAACCCCTGAATCCCTGCACCCGAAACCGAAACCCCCTAGGCAAGAGAGACAAAAGATACTTGGGTTGTTTCTGTGGCTTTGTCCCAAGCCTGGCCTGGCACGAGCTCCAAAGCCAAAGCCGCGCGCACAGCTTTCAACAGGCACGTTGCACAGTGCCCATGCAGCATGGAAGCGACCAAGGCAAATCTGGCAACTGCTGCAGAGACACTCCAGACGGTCCAGGTAATCAAGCATTGTTCTCCCAGAAGCACCCCATGCTGTTGATGCACATGTTCAGGGTTTCATTGCCTCAGAATATGTAGGCTGGTTCTACATACACTTCTCACCCATCATTCCCTGGACACGAAGCTGCCGGTCTATGCCAGCATGTCCGAGCGAGCCTGGTGAGCGTAAAGCCATTGGCAACTGCTGGCAAGAACAGGAGCCGGCCAAGAGCCAAACAACATCAAAACTCAAACACTGCTCATACCGGATGCAAAGGCACCACTCGGGGTTAGGACCACAGGCAGGCAACTTTCTCCAAGTTAGCTTCCTGCTGGCAGGCCCACAGGCTGACTCCGTCGGTGTCAGACAGATGACTAAATACTGGTCTACAAGTCTTTAATCTAAGCTTAGGCTCGATACTTGGGGATGTAACTTTCTTTCTTTATGGTATGAAGAAAGAATCACAAAGCAAGATGCGAGAAAGACCCTAAGTCTGTTGGTCATGAACTGTCGCATAGTGTACTCTATATATATATATATATATATAAGTATAGTAGCCCCGACTTTTTCTACCATGTTAAACTTGCTCTGTACATGTTGAATCGCTTCAGCTAGCTGGATGCCGGAATCCCGATGAAGGAAGATGTGTCTCCTGGCAACGCCAGGACAGCTCAAGTGTCACACCACCCGAATGTCAGTCCGCCTGTGTCAAGCCGCGGTGCCTTACAGGGCCTCCGGTACACTTGTTTTGTTTGGATTCCGGAAGTCAGGCTTGGCCAAAAAGCTGGCTGCATTGGCCGGCCAAGGCAGCTGCCGTTCTGCGACTTCAAGCTGTTGTGCAGCCTCGTCGCTGTTGGGTCCTGAACCGAGAGTACTCCCAAAGAGCACACCGGTCAAGAAGATGCAGCTCCGAGCGTCCCACCGCAAAGAAACATGTAGAAATCATCGAAATCAAATGAGTCGGAATCGTCCTTATGATATAAGCTGGGGAAAGCCGACTCGAGAGATTGCTGGGCTCAGGGCCCACACTGACTGCGCCTGCCGCACCATCTTCTTGCATTTCTCAATGTCAAAGGATGGACAGACCTCAGCTTTCAGACTCCATCCGAGATGGACGGATCTGGATTTCTACCACGATAGTCAGGTTCCTGGCAGCTTGCAGATCTTCTGCGGTCAGCCTGCCCTTGCCGTCCTCCAGGAGTACGAGTACATGCTAGCGCTCCTCGTGACAAGATTCCTCCAGAGTTTTCGAGGATCAAACGCCTACAGTAGTGATGTCGGATTCCCCGCAAAAACCCTCCGTCCGGATCGAGGAGGCTGAAGGCCTTCCAGAAGATTGATTGAAGGTTTTTCCCCCGAGACCTGTGAGGCTGCTCTAAGCTGGAGCCTCGTGGCACAATCTTTCGTCAATGAGGCTGTCGGGCCTCAGATCAGGATCGAATCCCGGAAGACGGCCGCAAGGATGCTTTGGCGATGTGATCTTGGGATGCGTGCATGGTGCAGGCCAAGAACTCCACGAAGTGCAGCCTCAAGGGCCAGGGCTGGGCGATGCATCTTGAAAGCAACCAGAAAGCCATAGGTGCGCCGCTGGCCCTCCCGGTGTCCGCCTCGGCCGGAAGATGAACAGCTCCCACACCGCTCCCACACCCGAGAGCTGCAGCGAGCACAGCATAGCACAGCGCAGACAGCTGCAAGTGCCTCTTGGAGTGCCACCGGCATCGCAACAGCACGAACCTACTGACTTTGGCCCGGGCTGCACCCATCGAAAATCTCAGCCATGTCGGCCGGGAGCTGAATCGAAGCATTTCGAAGCCCAGCCTCCCGCCCACGTGGCGCGCACTGGAGCAAGCCAAAGCTTGGGGGGGCTCCAGAAGCTTGAATGAGCAATTTCAATACATATATACATATATACATCTATGTTTTTTGGCTCCCACTTGGCACCGTCATATGTGTGTATATATATATATATATATATCTGTATGTATATATATATATATATATGTATATATATATATATATATACATATGTATATTTGTATAATTATATGTATATATATATATATATATACATATATATTTGTATAAATATATACATATATATATATATTTATATATATATATATATATATATATTTATATTTATACAAATATACATATATATATATATATTAAGTTGAATAGCTCTCCACTTCGCCCCCCAGCCTCCAGTTCTTCGCGGGAGATCTCGCCATCCTCGCCATCCGATGGTAACGAATACTACTTTCTCAAAATCTCTCGCCAAGACGAACCCCCAGATTTTGTATTGTTTCTGGGCACGGCTTGTCATGGAAAGCCTATCAACAGGTCCTCATGCTGTCAGTACTCACCTGTTCTAGCCATGCTGATGTGTGTTGACCCTACCGGGCCAGCCGTGAGGTCTACAATATGCTGACTCTCCCCACCGGTTCTGCGCAACTTTTCATGGCCTGCGCTCCATCTGCTTTCTACTGCTTTTTCATTTCGACTTTTCCACAAACATCCAATCTCGCTCACTTGGAGAGCAAGCTGAGGTTGGAGCCCCATTCTGGTCGAGCGTTCTGAAGTTGTGGCGCGCTGCCTGCTGCCCACAGACTCTACCAGCCCATTACTTCGAGTTTGTGTTCCTGGATTGTCTGACCTTCTCTCCTGCACTCCAACTTTCTCGATCTGGTAGCACAAAGCCGCAGTAGAACAGCACATTCGGAGCCCTGCCAGGAGCTTCTCATCGTGCTCGACCAGGTGCGCCATAAAGAGCAGCGACACCTACGAATTCACAATGCTCTGTGACATGTCGAACAAATAAGAAATGATGTCAGACGCTGGTTCCTGGAGGTGAAGAGAGTGCTTGAGACCCGGCCACTGATTCGAAATATAGCCGACACACGGCTACTCACATCTTGCCCATGCCACTTCAACTTAGACAACCAGAAGGAAACTCATGGGTAATCCGTTCCCGTCGTATGCTAGGCCCTGCAGCTCAGGCACCTTCTTCAGTCGGGGAGCCTTCGCAAAGCGCCTGCAGGGCTGGGCATCGAGGTGTTCTCCGATTATCGGCGGGCCCTGCCTCAATCGGTCGACGATGTCGGGCTGCAGCTCTGTCTTTGCTTCGATACCCAGGAAGAAGTGGCAGTATTCTGGGCCAGGAACTGAGGCTTGGGTCGTAACGAGGAAGGCTACCCCGACATCCAACAAGACAGATGTCTGCCCGACGCCAAGAAAACCATACAATTCCCCTCAAGTCTGGCTTCGGGCAAGCATCTGAGGATGAAGGGATGAGACCTCGGATGGAAGGCTAGTAGCCCCACATTGACATGGTCTGAGGACGAGCAACAGTGGGCTTTCTGTTACGAGCCCACCGGTTCAGACGAGACCACTGACCTGCATCCTGGTCAACTGTTGGAAACTCAACTCAGCGACCATGGAGAACCGATGGACATTGCCGAGGCATGCCCGCCAGGCGTTTTCCCTGAGTTTGCCCTCGTCTACAAACTCTAGCTTTGGTATCCTTTGGCAGGGAGATTTCCTGCTGTCGGGTTACTAGGGCCGCCCTGGGGTTGCGGTTGAGCTTAAGCAGACAAACCATGGGAGCCCGAGGTCCGAACAATGCCTCGGAGGCCGTGATTCTTTGCGACGGCTCATACCGCAGCCTTCAGCGAGTTAAAGAACAGGGGGTGCTTAGCTGAGCCTCGCAAAGTTAAGGCTTGGGGCATCTGTTGGCCGTGAGTAAATCGAAATTTCTGTGCCCGTGGAGGGCTCTTCGGGACCCCTGAGGAAGGACCGGAGAATACGAACGAAGGCCCACGGCTGCATGGCTGGCAGCGCAAGACCCCTCCCAACAACCCGCCAAGGAACCTCCGGCTCTGAGCTAAAGTCTGAGCTCACTGATCTAGGGAGGGGACTGTATGGGATTATAACCCAGAAGCAGTCAACCAGCTGCGTCGACCGCAATTCTGCTACATGGGTAACCGGTGTTTCAGTGCATTCCGGCCAAGACTGGGGCAAGACCCCCTGTATGCATCAACTGCTCAGAAACGCAATTGACCTCGACCTTCTGCAACGCTCCGAGGCCCCCGGCATACTCTGTAAGAGGCTCCTCGCCTAGCCAATGCGGCTTTTCTGTGTCCGGCTGAGACGGGACTGAGGGGTTCAGGGAGTTTGAAGCCCCTTGAGGGTTGCGACAGTGTTGCGACTAACCGGGAAGTCCCAGATTTCCCAGACGACTTTTGTTTGTTCTGTGGTGCACTCAGGACCCACGGCTACGAACCGAAAGACGAGCCTAGCCCTGCACTCAGTCTCGTCCGGAATCCCCAAACCACGTTTACGCCTCCCGTGACTACTCCTCAGTGACTCTCGTGCTCTTCAATACCGCGTAGGCTCTGCTAGCTCTGCATTCAGATCTGAAGTCGCGGGTGGCCTGTTCAGAACAGGAACGCTTCTGAAGCTGAGAACATTTGTCCAGCTTTCGGTCGATGTAGCCCTGCATAACAAAGATTCCCTGTGACTGCAAGAGCTGTTCGTAGCCGGCGCACGTGGCCTTTTTGCCTAAGAGGTGCTTCTTGCGCTCGTCATCCTTCGGTAGCAGCATGAGCCTGGCGAGCAGCACTTCAGCATCAGGAGATCGGGCTTTGCAGCCGGGCTGCCCAGTCAAGCACACATAGAGCAGGACGCCTGGCCACAAGAACCAGTGAGTGAAATCTCTGCTATGGGCACTCCACGGCATACACGCCTAGCGACCAGATGTCCACGGCTGGACCTGGATGATTCCATGTTGTAAGAACTTGTATGGTGGGAGGACGTTCTGAAGCTGGGCTCTCCAATAAGCGCCACGCTGTACTTCCCATCCAGGATCATCTCTGGCGCCATGTAATGAGATGTACCTTCAGTGCTCGACACAACTCCTGTGGTGAGCCGGGGTCTGGCCTTTAAAGAGAATAGGGCTGTAACTCCGAAAGCCCTGCCCTGCAACGTTTGGAGAGTTGTGAACTCCTCTCTGGGTATTCTTGCTGAAACCAGAGCCATCCAGAAACATCTCTTCTAGGACATGTCTGAGAAGACCCGGAGCTTGACCGTGTTGCAGCCACACATTGGAATCGACTGCAATACCCGCATGAGGTGTCTTCAAGTAAGAACTGAGCCAACGATTTCGATGAATTGCTCCTGTGAAGCATGAGACTGGAGCAAGGATGTCACAGAAACACCCCCTTTATTACCTTAACACTAAACCCTAAACCCTAAACCCAAAGGAAAGGTAGGACTTGATTGGATGCTGCAGCCCACACTGGACATCCTTCGGCAGGTAGCCGTGGAATCGTGTAGCGAGGCCAAAGTCGATGAGCTTCACCGTCCTGGTACCAGTACTGGTTATAACTACCTTAATTGGGGTTATGATTACTTATACATATAGTTACCTTATTTATAACCCTAGTTACTAGTTACTAAGTCGCATGATCCTCCAAGTAGGAGAGAGCATGGACACACCGAACCCGGCCCAAGCCATTCGCACCAAGGAGGGGCGGTCCTGTCCTCACCTGTGATCATAAAGTTTTTGGCATTCAGGTCGCGGTGGACCTCGGGATTCCCCCCTGTACTTGTCTCACGTGCTGCATGCCTGAGCCGCTCACGAAGCCATGGGCATGGCAACACAGGACCGATTTCAGGCACTGCCTGCACTCGGAATTTTCTGCATCAGTTCGTGAATCTGGAAAACCGCTTCCCACTTCCGACGAAGCAACTGTCCGGGCGGCCACTGAAATCACTTCGGATTTCCCGATGTTTTTGTCAAGAGCGGACGCTTGGCCGAACGGCCTGTCATTAAATGCACTGCTCCATGCCGCCGATACTGACAGCTTCCAGAAAGCAGCGCTTGAGGTAGTGCCAACCTCTCTCTGCTTTGCAGAGGAAGTGGCGGCTTCCTGCCTCACCCCACACAGGCTTCTGTGTGTGGCTGTCCTGTTGCGCAGCCTCTGCAACCTGAGGCCACAAAACCCGCCGTCGCACTCACTTCGCTGATCAGTAGCTGAGGCCTGGGCATGTGTCAAACTTCCGGCCATCCTTTGCTTCAGCCACCTTCCTGCCACACCTCATTCTCGTGTTGCATTGTTCTGCCATGCGCGAGGGTTTTCGCAAGCACTGCGGTTACTAAACCCCGCGCTGTAGGATCAAAGATCGAATTTCCAAACCGCAGCATGCCGCACTTGCAGTATGACTGCCGACTGAGGATGGTCTGAAGTTGCTAGTCATAGGAGATCCACTTGCCATTCGCGTGCTATGAGGCTTTAGCTGACCCTACGATAGGAGATGCAAATGTGACGAGTTATGAAGACTCGTCGAATTGTCTCCTGACCCCCGTCATAACATTTTCGTACTCGAAATCCTCATGGTGGCCGGCGTCGTAGCAGTACTGACAGAAAAGGGTGGTAGCAGTAGTGGCAGCCGTCCGCGTCGTCCTAGGTGGCGGTGGTGGCGGTGGCGGCGGCGGTGGCGGCGGCGGCGCTGGTGGTGGCGGCGGCGGTATCACTAGTAAACTAGTAGCACCGGCATGAAGACAACAGGAGACACACCCAAGCCTCATCCTGCAGTAACCAGGCTCCACCGGAGTGCTGTCCTGGCTGCGGTTGAAGCATGGGCTCAGGACACCTTTTTCAGCGCAACGGGAGACCACAGGCGGCACGCGTACAGTCAACAGTTCATCTCAAGGGGTCCAGACATATTCAACGCGAGAGCTGTCTTGGTAGGTATGGATTTCTTCGCTCCACCACACAAGTATAGCGGCAGGCACATCTAGTGCAACAATCCGCTGAAAAAAGCCGCAGTCGTGCCTGAACTCCTCTGCAGCAGCTGATCAGAAATCAGAAATGGCTGGGCCGGAGTTGGGCGCTGGCTGTGGTTTCGCATCTCTACCCAGAAAATCCGTCCTGCTTGCCGCAAAGAGGGTCATGGCTACCGCTGGCACACAGTGCGCAGCAGGTGTCGTAGGGCCGCCCAGATGCATGTCGGCCGGGGTTCACTTTACGTCCGCAGCCGTACCTGCGGTTTGAACACAAGCAGTATCAGCATCCGTCAGAGCATTCACGGTCGAATCCATGTCGAACTGAGGCTCCGTGCGTCTGAGCCTCTGACTTGCACAGGCCTTCACCCAAGAGCTTCGGGTCGATATTACCTCAAGCTCTTTCAGACAGGAGGCTGGCGACTGCAAGGCCCCGCCCCAGAAAACGGGACCCCAAGGGCAAGAAACCACAACAGATTCACACGGTTTGGGCTCTAAGACTCTAAGATCATCAGATCCTGAGGCCGAGGCCGCAGATGAGGTCATGGCCGAAGCCCAGCGTGCAGCCCCGGCAGCAGGTGTCATAGGGCTTCCCACTGCGTGTTTTCCCAGGTGCCACTTTGCGCCCACAGCCCTGCCGCAAATTCCGGCTCTCATTTCTGCGCCCCACGACTTGACGCAGAAGCTAATGCCAACTTGAAAGACGGGTGCCGGCCTTTTTGCAAAAGCCTGCAGGAACGCCCTTGACATCGGGAACTCCCTTTTCCATGAGTGCCTCAGACGAACTCGGCGGATCAGCATGCTAAGGGCACTTGTCTAACTCTCTCATAGATCCCCCGCATGCACGCCGGAAGTACAAACCCCAAGTCAGAGGCCTCCCTGCAACTGTCAGTTATCGCGCCTCGATGCCATATCTTTAGATCTGTGCCATCTTCGAATACTACAGCTGAAGAAAAACAGGCACACGGCATGGGGCGAGTTTGCCGTACAATGTAAACTCTCCCGCTGCGTTTCCGGCAGTTCAGACATGCCTCTTCGACTACATTGCTGTCAACTCTTACGCTGAGGGGCGCTGCTGTACAACATAACAACCCCTTCCCTCAACAAAACCAAAAAACCAAAACCAAAAATACCAAAAAGAAACAAAACTGAGAAACAAATATGTTAAGAAAACGTTATTCGAGTACTCCTCCAGAATAGAACTAGAAATATACACAAACGGAAGAGTTCCGAACTTATTGCTTTTTTGTTGTTTTTGGTTTTCGTGGTTTTGTTTTTTGGTTTTGGTTTTGGATGTTTGGTATTTTTCGGTTTGGTGTTTTGGGTGTTATTAAGGGAAAAGGGTTGTTGTACTTTCTAGTGTCTTACAGCAACGCCCCTAAGCGCGAGAGTTGATAGCGATGTCGTCGAAGAGGCGTTCCTTAAATATGCAAAACTCAGGGGTAGACTTTGACCCCCGGAACCTTTAGAAATTATTCTCATCCTCCATGCCGCATCCCCCATTCCCAAACTTTTCGCGCCGGCTCTGACCAGAGCCACATCCCGAGCTATCCCGAAGCCACCAAGCCCACGATGTGCCCCTGCACCGGATGATTCTGTAAGTTTGTTCCTTGTCAGTTCTGCTTGAACCACCCAACAGCCTGGCCCCAGCCGCATAGGCCAAGTCTTGCATGCGAATTCGGCGCTCCTCATGAAGAATCTGGATTTTACAAGTGTCTTCGATCCTGCATCTTCCGACAGAAACTAGAATCGGCAGCTATGCAGCACAACACGTGAACTCAAGCTTTCCGAACCCTGTCTTGCATAATCGAGCACCTCTCCTTGTTGTGTCGACGTGTCTGTATGCCTAGTCTTCTCGTCGAAGAGAAACTCCCTAAAAGCCTTATGACACCTTGGCATCAGACAAGGCCAGAGGCAAACCCCACACCAACACCCAGTCAAAAGCTCGGGAAAAGGAGCAAAGGAA